ATTATTACTTTGCACAGCACTTTGGTCAACTCTCTGTTGTTATTGAATGTGCTTTGTAAATAAATAAATAAAACAAATAAAATAAAATTCATCAGTTGGATATGTCAGAGCCACCGGCCTGTAGCTGTTGAGGTCCTTGGGATGTGGAATCTTTGGCACTGGTACAACACAAGAGGTTTTCCAGAACTCTCCCCACCCTCCGGCTCAGGTTGAAGATGCGCTCCATCATCCCACACAGTTGATCTGGGCAGGACTTGACAACCCTTGAGCTTACCGCTTACTGCTTACCGCTCTCTCTCGTCCTGGTCGCCCGCAGCAGCTGGAATCCAGTTAGTGTCACGCTCGTTTCGGAGTTAGCAGTGTTAGCCAGGACTCACCGGTATTCCCTCTGTGACCAGGTTAGCGACGTGAGCCCAACCATCTAATTAACTCTTAAATTAATTAATTAATTTATTAATTTTTTTAATTTATTTTTTATCAACTACAGAAAGAGTAGCTTTCTAGATATCTAATTTTAAGTCCACATTTTAAGTCTACATTTTAGAGATTTTACATTTTAGAGACATATTTGGAGAATACTGGTGCAAAATTGGAGGGATGCATATAAGAAGCACAGTCAACATGCATAATTCATAATATTTGCATTTGGCATATAATTTTGTTTCCCTCTTGACCAAGCTGCATCTCTGTTTTAATGTATAGCATAGAATAGATATGTACAGTACAAATGAGCCATGAGGAGGAAAAAAGCCATTTTGTAATAATTTATTCATGAATTGTAATGAAGGTTAAAAAAATATAATGGGATACCTGGGACAACATGAACTATATGGAAAAAAAATATTATGCCACACCACTTAATCTAAATATTTCCTAAAAATGTTGTGTGGATTAAAATGATTAATGATTAAATGATTAAATTCATCATTAAAATGATTCAGGAGATTTTAAGCATTCTTTTAGCTTATAACTTTAGCTGTACATTTTCTCCTTAAATGTACAGTTCAGGTCCATGAAGTCCAGAAGGCCAAAAACCACCTTTATCTTTAGGTCAAAAGGCAATGATTTGTTCTTAGTCTCATTAAATCAAGCACCTATGCTTCTACAAACCTGGTCACTGATTTAAAGGGTTGTACTGCAATAGGAACAAGACTGTTTGTCTTTTGCTCCTGGGAAAATTCCACAGTCACATGTTGTGTTATTTCAAAATGGCTTTTAGGAATCACAGTGACTCAGCCACAAAGTGGAAAAAATAAAGTTACAAAGCAGGGGTCGCCAAGTGGTTAGAGCCATAGTGCTTTAAAGTTCTCTCTATTACCGAAACTCTGCTTACTCAGTAACTGCAGAAATCTTAAACTATGGCATTACCATCAGCCATCAGCAAAAACAAAACAAAAAAACAATAAAACACGGTGCACTATGGGTTTCTATGACTGAGCCTTTACTTTATTTTTTTAAATTTTCACCAGATGCCAAAAAGTAGGCTGACTGATCGAAATCTAAAATTGAGAAAGCACAAAATTCAATAAATAAAAGGGCATAAAACAAATAGTAGTCTGTAGGGACATTTTCATGCAATCACATGTGTTTGACATGGAACCCTGTTGGGCCTCAGTCACACACCACAGAAGCACAGGAAGAGGAAGTTCGTACAAAATAATATATCCTCAAGTTAGTCTGATACTCATGCAGTCAGCAGCAAGACAGCATGGAGGTCAGATTTCCCACCATCAGAATTTGTAAGTACTGACATTGTCTTAAAAAAATACATGGATAGACTGAAGGGCAAATTAATATATCCAAAATACAGCCATATATTTGCATGTATTTTTATGGTGAGCTGTTTGTAACAGCTGTTTGTAACAGCTCACTAATAGATGCATAAGACTTATTATTAATGATGCAAAAAACCCCCCCAAAAAAACATGGTTATGCTTTATAATATGAACCATAAATAAGGTGCAAGTACCCTATTCTAACGTGCATTTTGCAGACAACAAGGCACAAATACACCGTACTTACATGCAGTTTGCAAGCAACAAGTCAGGTTTTTGCAAGAAGCAATGAACAAAGTACACTGTAAGTACAACTCATGTTTTTGAAGTCAATGATGAAACAAGTAGATTGTAAGTACTGTGTACTTTCTAAAATGTGAGTCACCTGCAAGACCCCCGAAACAATTAAACAATTACACTGTAGCACACATGACTAAGGCACAAGTAGCCTGTACTTTCATGAAATATGAAATATGAAATATTTCAATAATAACATAAAATTTAATTAGGTAATTTTAATGCTGGGTGATTTCATGGTAAAATCCTGGGGAAAAAAACCCAACAACTATATTTCTCCATCTTGGATCTTCTGCCAGTTGATTCCTGCAAAATGCAAGTAAATATAGGGTACTTGTGCTTTATTAGCTGGCTGTGTTAAAAAGTGTTATCAAAAACACTGACAAAAATATTAAATGTTAAAAGTCTCATTCTTAACCTTTTCAGTGCTGAATGTTCTGTTGCTGTTGGTTACAGTAGCTGAATTCAGTGATTCTCAAACACATAGTAAGTTTTTAATTATTCATGTTGTTTTTTGTGTCTGTG